TCTTTTCTTGTTCCTGTTCCTGTCTTCCCCAGAGTCATTACTCTTTATTTTTATTTGTTTATTTATTTATTTTGGCAGCTGGCTAGTACAGGAATCTGGACCCTTGACCTTGGTGTTACAACACTGCACAGTAACCAACTGAGCTAACCGTCCAGCCATCAATACTCTTAAAAGAGGAATTTTTACTTACTGCCTTTCCAGTCTCTTGCCATCCTAATTTCTTGTTCCCATTATGTTGCAGAAACTTGTTTCTGGTAACATTAATACTAATTGCCAGAACAGTGACCATATTCACTGTCCAGCCCTTTTGCTTAATTTTCAAAAATTGATTACATCCTTTTCTTGAAATTTCTGTTGCCCTAGGTAAATTTACTTCCTAGTTTTCCTCCTTTAACTTTTATTCCTTTTCCTTTGTCTAGCCTTTAAACAAAGGCATTCCCCAAAAACTTTTGTTCTTGTTTGTTTTTAATAACTCGTATTTGTTGTCTCTCAGTCAGGGCTTGAGAGCCTGAGGTAGTTAGATTGAAAGCTATTGGTCTAGACTCTTACAGTGATATGACTCCATGGCTCTCCATGGTTAAGATGCTATAATAGTTAATTTTGTGTCAGCCTTACTAGGCCATGGGTGCCCTGACATTTGTTCAAACATTATTTTGGGTACATCTATGAGAGTGTTTGTGGGTGATACTAACATTTTAATTGGTAGAGTGGGTAAAGCAGATTAGCAGTCTGCCTAATGTGGATGGGCCTCATCCAATCAGTTGAAGGCCTGAAGATTGATCCTCCTGCCTGACTGCCTTCGAGCTGAGACATCAATTTTTTCTTGCCTTCAGACTCAAAGTGAAACATTGGCTTTTTCTGGGTTTTGAGCCTTCTGGACTGGGTCTGAAACTACACCATCAGCTCTCTAGTTTCTCTAGCTTGCCAACTGCAGATTTTGGGACTTGTCAGCCCCATAATTGTGTGAGACAATTCCTTATTTTATATGTATATGTAGAGAGAAGTCCTAGCGCTATGCCCAGCAGGTGTATGCTGACAGCAGTTAGCAGAGATAAATTTCCCGACAGAGAATTATGGAAATTTGATCCTCAAATCTATGTCTATAGCTCTGGAATAAAATGTTTCTAAAATACAACATTTCTAGATGATGACCTAAACATCTACATGGATTTTCAACACAACGTGTATACTAAAGGACTCCCGTACAAAATTCTTGTTTCTTTGTTCCATGTACTGACTAATGACATTAGTAATTTTTTCTTATTATCATATGTTTTCTTCATTCATTAAAAAGTGTTTGAGGGTATACAATGTGAGAATTGCAAATATTAATCATTTGCAGACTTCACCTTTAAAGAACTTGGGCTAGAAGGGAAGACAAGATGTGAATGTGTATAAATGCAGTACAAAATAACTGAGTGCCATGTAGGAAAATTCTGTGCAACATCAATGGAGATGAGATAATTTGATGCTTAGGTTGTTTGTGTGGAGTTTGGGGGTGGGGTAGGGGCATAGGTTGAGAGAATAGACGTAAAAAAAAATTTTGTTGGTTTCAGAAAGAATGGAATTTAAAACCCAGAATGTTAATGTTAATGGATGAGGTGAAATAACTGGCAGCCCAGCTTTTATTTACCCTTTCTAACCTAGCATGAACCTTGAACTTGTATAGACATAAAGCTTTCCCATATTCTTGTAACTTCTTTGCAGCGTATGTACTGATAAATTTTTGTGAATTATTTTAAACCTTTATCACTTTCCTTAAACCCCCAAACCCACCTTTTTTTTTTTTTTGTCCTTTTTGTGACCGGTAAGCGGATCGCAACCCTTGGCTTGGTGTCGCCCGCACCGCACTCAGCCAGTGAGTGCACTGGCCATGCCTATATAGGATCCGAACCCGTGGCGGGAGCACCACTGCGCTCCCAGTGCCGCACTCTCCCAAGTGCGCCACGGGGTCGGCCCTGGTCAGAACATTTTGAGTTAACTTTCCAGATTCTATTATTACCTTGATATACGATTAGAGAATTAGTTATTATAATTGTTTCTGTCACTGTCAATTGAAAATCATAACCTGCTTAAAAGAAAGGACCCAATTCATGAAAGGCACTGAAAAAAATACAACCTTTTTGACTAAAAAAAAAAATCTAAAAATGCCACTAAGGAGATTCAGAATCTGTTTTTTTTTTTTGTCCTTTTTGAGACCGGCCGCACCACGTTCAGCGCACTGGCCATCCCTATATAGGATCCGAACCCACGGCGGGAGCGCTGCTGCGCTCCCAGCACCGCACTCTCCCGAGTGTGCCATGGGCTCGGCCCTTCAGAATCTGTTTTTAAAATAAGTAAAACATGAACAGAGTTCTTTATGGAAGGATAATTGGTGGGTCAAGTAGAAATTCAGATTTTCCATAGCATTGCTTCAACAAAGATCACAATGTTGTTTTTCTCATTGTGTTTTTAAGGGGTTTTTTTTAGGAGACTTTTTTGAGAGGTAGAATGATACAGTGATTAAGTATGTGACCCTGAGCCAGGCTGTCTGGGTTGAAATCTTAACTTTGCCTATATTAGCTGTGTGACCTTGTGGGAGTTAATTAACTTCTCTGTGCCTCATTTTTTAAAATCTGTGAAATGGGGGTAATAATAGACCTAATAGAGCTTTTTGATAAATATACTCATATAAATGAATGAATGAATACCTGTAAATTTCTTACAGTAGAGGCTGACAAATAGTAAATGCTCAGTAACTCCTAGATATTTTTTAGTAATACTAATAATTAGAAAAATCTTATTTATAGAATCAAATGTTAATGAAAATTACTGCTACTCTTTTTTAGGAGATTTTAGTGTCATATTTTTAAATGTTTTATGATTTCTATTTCAGATTCATTGGTTGTATGTAAGTAAATTTTAATTTATTTTTAGAAGATCATAACATTCACCAAATTGAATTAATGCTTGTGTGCCTTTTAAACTGGACCCAAAGTTCTACAAAAATACAGAATTCACAAAAGTTGATTCTTGTCCTCAAAGAGCTTTCATATTAGGACAAATATAAAATAGGATGTAATAACGTGATGTTTGATTCAGACTAAGCACTTGGAAGTGCTGGGGGGAGGAATTGCTTCATACTGAATAATCTTGAAAGGCATTGTAGATAAAGTGGCATTCATTTGGGCCTTAAAAAATTAATAGACTTTTGACAAGTGTTGTGAGGGTAGTTTAAGAGAAAGACATTTCAGGCAAAGAGAAAGATTCAGAGCAGGATACTTGATTTGTGTTTTATAGAGACAGGATATGATTCAAGCTGAATGGAACATAGAAATCATTTAGGAAGTTCTGGGAAATAAGATTTTATTACATTGTGGCAGACTTGTAGTGTAAGACCAAAGGATTTGTGAGGAAATATCTCATCCCATTCTGTAGAGTAGTATACTCTGTTTGCTACAGTGCTTTTTTCTGTAATATAAATTAATTGATGTGTGGTAACTATGGAATTGATGTCAGTATGATGTGGAAGTAGAATTAGTTCAAACATAGTCTTTCTCAGCGTATTAACATTTTGAAACAATCAAGAACAAACTTTCTCACAATTTAAGAAAAAGCTTTAGCAATATGTGAAGATGTTAAGAAAAACACTGAAAATCCTGCAGAAGTGTCCTCTTTTAGTGAAATTGAGAGGCTTCAAGAATAGTTCCATGTTCCACAGTGTTAAGCTGTCTGCTGAAACAGTGAGCACAAAGAAGCTGCAAAGACATTTCCCTTTGAATTAAGAACTTTTTTGTTTGGTGAAGAAGTCTACATCTTGTATTATACTTTTAACTTCATTGCAATTAGTCTTGACTACAAGCAAATGCCCTGAAGAACTCATATCTCAAATGAAGAAGCAAGGGCCCCAGAGTTTTAGGCTTCAAAGGATTGAAGACCATAATGCTACGTGCAAATGCAAGTGGACATTTAACTGGGCTAGTATTCTTATAAGGACTTGTTATTGTTTTAGTTAGGGCTTTGGTTACAGACTTGTTGATTTTGAGTAGTCTGCCTTAACTCTTTTTTTCCCAAGAGCCCTGTTATTTTTAGTTGTGATTTTGTAGAACTCAAGGTATTTTTTTCGCCTAAATATGCATATCAACATCCTAGCAAAAAGGACTCTGCAATGTTTTGAAAGAGGAAAACTCATAAAGGAATTGTTGCCTGAAATTTCGGTTTAATTTTCTGACACAAAGTCTTCTTTCATGCCATGGTCATTGAAATCAGTTACAACTCTTGGAATTCATACACTGTTCTTATTTACTTAGTTTTGAATTGAGAATGTTCCAGTTTTGATTTTAAAGGAAATTTACCTTTGAAATTTGTGCCAAATCAAGTACTTTTATGTAGTATGTCAAAACACCCCTAAGTGGACTCTCTTGTGGCCAGGCTTGGGCGGTGAATTGATTTCCCTATGTGTAGCAAATAAGTTTTGACCAGAGCTAAACTTAACTTTTGAAGGACTGATAGGATGTTTGTATAAGTTTAACATAGAAAATAAAATGCTCACTCATTCCTATAACTTTCTCTTACATAAGGAACCAGCTGCTTTCTTGGAATATGGGGCATAAGTTGAATATATAGAATTCGTAGCTTATTAGAGGAGTCCCAATGGGCTTGATGTCTTCATTTTCTTAAAATAGATGATAGTCCTTTGAATGAAATTATTCAGCTATTAACTTTCTGAAGTGTTCATTTCAGGAATATTTTTAATGCAAAGGTCTTTGGCATTTCATTGTTACTGACCAGTACAGCGCATTTCTACTTTTGAGGTAGCAAAACTAACAAACTTGAAAAAAGGCTTAGTTGGCATCATTTTTACAAAGTAAAAAAATCCATAATTTAAAACTTTGCTATTGATATTTATTTTACCTCCATAGCTTTGTACATATTTTCATAAAAATGTATTTCTGCTATGTTGCTATATAGCATTTTGGGGATCTTACACTTTTAAAATAACAACACTTTTTTAATTGCAGAAAGACCCAAATGGGACCAGTAGTTTGCCAGCTGGAAGTTCTCGTCTACAAGAAATTGAAGTACAGAATGAGGAAGTGGCAGCTTTTTGTCAATCCATTACAAAGTAAGAAACTTTATAAATTAGGTTCTTTAAGTGCTGATTAAAAAATTTAACTTCAAAGCCAGTTTAGTGCTAATAATTCTAAAATTTTAGAAATTTTAATGATTTTCTTTATGTGACTAAAATTTCAGGTCAAATAGTTAATTGGCACATTATCACAAACTACAGTTGAACCTGTATCCTTACTTGTTAGGTTTCTGAATATTTAGAAGAATAACTGAGGTCAAACAGAAGGCTTCTGATACTCTGTTAACCAGTGAATCATGGCTTATATGTAAGTTTTGGTACACTTAGAAAATGCCTACTTTTGGGGCCGAGCCTGTGGCGCACTTGGGAGAGTGCGGTGCTGGGAGCACAGCAGCGTTCCCGCTGCAGGTTCGGATCCTATATAGGGATGACCGGTGCGCTCACAGCACTCACTGGCTGAGCGCGGTGTGGCCGGTCTCAAAAAGGACAAAAAAAAAAAAAAGAAAAAAAGAGAATGCCTACTTTTGTTTTAGAGACTTAATTTTGCCATAAACTTTCTAGCATTCAAAATGTTGTCCTACTTAAGAAGTGATATTATAACAGGCAAGATTACAAGAACAAATATATTTTCTGAAGATTAGAAAAATGCATTTCTAAAATATCTCAATCTTAAATGTGTCTAATATTCTTTATAGATGAGGAAACTGAGACTCAGAGAAATAACCTACTAAAGTTTATTTGACCCTGTGCAGGTGGCCCACTAAAGCCACCACCACAGCCATGGCTGTGCAAAAGCAGCTCATCATCACAGCAGTAGCCACAGCCACAGTGCAGGTGGCCTGCCAGACTCTCCACTGCACTGATACAATGAGAGTCACCAGTGGAGACCACAAATAAAAGAGGACATCTCTCTCCTCAAAGCCCATTCTAGAGTACTAGAAGAAGCATCTGCTCTATCAGATAACCAGATATCAATGTAGAGATACTATAAATATGAAAACCCAAGAAAATATGACACCACCCAAAGAATACAGTAATTCTCAAATAACAGTCTCTATACAGCAGAAAAACCTTGAAATGACTGAAAAGGAATTCCAAGCAACAACCTTGAGGAAACTCACTCTGATACGAGAATAATCAGTTAGACAACATAATGAAATGAGGAAAAAAATCAAGGATCCAAAGGAGGAAATTTACAGCATTAATACCTTAACAAAGATATGTAAGTGAATTCATGGAACTGAAAGATTCACTCAACCAAATAAAAAACACAACTGAGAGCTTAAGCAGCAGGCTAGAACAAATAAAAAAAAATTTTCTGATCTTGAAGATAGTCTTTTAGAAATAAACCAGGTGGACAAAAAAAGGAAAAGAGAATTTTAAAAAATGAAGAAAATCTAAGAGAGCTAGGAGACAACCTTAAGTGCACAAACATTCAAATCACAGGTGTTCCAGAAGTAGAGGAGAAAGGAAAAGGCATGGAAAACCTATTCAACAAAATAATACCAGAAAACCTTCGAGATTATAGGGAGAGACACAGACCTTCAGATTCAGGAGACTCAAAGATCTCCAAACAGATTCAATCCAAAAAGATCCTCTCCAAGACACATTACAGTCAAACTAGCAAAGCTCAAAGACAGAGAATCTTAAAAGAAGCAAGAGAAAAGCATCAAGTCACCTATAAGGGAGCCCCTATCAGACTAATAGCTAACTTCTCAATGGAAACTCTACAGGCAAGAAAATGGGATGATATATTCAAAACACTATAAGTAAAAAACCTTCAGCCAAGAATACTATACCCAGCAAGTCTATCTTTCAGAAACAAAGGAACAATAGCGTAATTTGCAGACAAACAAAAAATGTGGGAGCTCGCCACTACATGACTAGCCCTACAAGAAATCCTCAAGTAAGTCTTGCATCTGGAATCTGGAAAATAATAATCACTACCACAAATACACAAAAAAGAACAAAATCCACTGGTAGAACAAAAATGCAAAAAACCATAATGACAGTTTTATAATGCCCCTGCTTTATTTCTGATTTTAGTAATTTTGGTCTTCTTTTTTTCTTGGTCAATCTAGATAAAGGTTTGTAAATTTTGTTGATCTTTTTAAAGAATCATCTTTCAGTATTGTTAACTTTCTCTATTGTTTTTAATTCCTTATTTCATATATTTCTGTTATTTCCTACTTATATTTGCTTTTGGTTTAGTTTGCTCCTCCTTTCCTATTTTCTTAAGGTTGAAGTTTACATTACTGATTTGAGATTTTTTTTATTTTTAATATAGGTATTTACGAGTATAAACTTTCCTCTATGCAAGGTGTGAGCCCTACAACCTATAAATTTTGATATGTTGCGCTTTGATTTTTATCTCAAAGTACTCTCTAATTACTTGCTAATTTCCCTTGATTTTTCTTTTTATCCATTGTTTATTTAGGAGAGTGTTGTTTAATTTCCATGCATTTGTGAATTTTCTAAATTTCCATCTGCTATTGTGGTTAGAGGGCATATTTTCTTAGTCTTCTTAAATGTATTAAGACTTGTTTTGTGGCAAAAAATTTAAAAAATAACAACCAAAAAAGAGAGAACGATTGATGGCACAAAAAAAGTTCACAAACCCATATAGCAGAAAGAGGAAGGATGGAGCAGAGTTCAGTAGCAAGAGCCAGGAATTCACAAACTGTAAATCATCTCTCCTCCCTTCAGACTCTCCTTTCCAATTCCCTTTCCTTTCATTCTCCTTCCTCCCTTTTCTTCCCTTGCCCTTCCTCCATGCTTGTTAGCATCATTTTCTTCTCCTGCAGGTGGGACCTTTGAAGACAGGGAATGTAGCCACTGATAGCTTAGACTTCATACTTTAATGGTCTTGATAGCTCAGAGGAAGGGGAATCCTCTCAGCCAGCCAGAAAGAAAAATCCCACAGAAGGAAAGGGTGGAACAACAAAAACATGTGGCCAAGGGGATGAGATCTGTTTGCTAAAGAAGGGAAAGCAGATCACCACTGGGGGATTTATTCTGAATCCAGCATTTTCCTTAGTGTAGTCTGCTGTAAGCAACAGGGTTTGGGGTTCCCACATCATTTTTGAATATATACATCATTTTAATTTTAAGGGAGTTACTAATATTTAACTAAATTTTTGGACCACTGATAGTTTTTTATTAAAACTCTAGCTTCCTTTATGTTATCTTTTAACCAACATTTATTTTCTTCAGAATACATTAGGGGAAAAAAAAGAAAAATATCAGTAGAAACATTTTTGTTTTTTCTGGCAAAGGTTACTTCTTAAATAGATTTTTTTTTTCCTTTTTGTCTTTTTTTGTGTCCGGCAACAGATCACAACCCTCAGTGTCGCGCCCGTACCGGACTGTACCGGGACCGGCAACGGGATCACAACCCTCGGTGTTGCCCCCACACCTCGCTCAGCCACTGAGCGGGAACCGGTCTGTATGTGGGATCCGAACCCTCGGCGGGAGCGCCACCGCACTCCCAAGCGGCGCACTGTAGCAGTGCGCCACCGGGCCGGCCCCCTTAAATAGATTTTTAAACTCATTTTTCAGAAGGCATTTAAAATGGAAGGGACATTTACGTCACCTGATATGCAAATTGCATGCCTTTATGCCATTATACCATTATGTGTATATGGTTAATGATTTGGAAATAATCTTTTACGTTAATGGTTTGGAAATAATCTGTTATGTGTTTGTTTAGTTCTTTTAATTTTCTTGCCAAACAAGCCCTGTATACTTTGTCAGACTGTGTTGAATACTGCATTTAAGTTTTGCAAGCTGAGAATTTAGGCTCTCTGTGATCTGCCTTTTTTTCCCTGTTTGAATCTTAGAGCTGTTTACACAAACTGTGACACTAAATTAAATGATTATTTTTGTTCACACACACACACACACACACACACACACACACACACACGGTGGCTTATGTAATATGAAACTCCAAATGGGACTAAAGAGAAAATGAGTTTTTTAAAATTTTATTTCCATTAGTAGAGTATGATTTCAAGAAATATATGTCAGTAATAATAAGAAGAGGTGTTTTTGAAGCCATGTTCTGGGAATTTCTCTTGTTCCCACACCGTGACCTTGGAGATTAGGGTCAGGAGATGTACTTTGAAGAAGTTAGTGGCTCTATTTTTCCCAATATGCTCATTTTTGCAGTAGAGTTTTAAAACAAGTATTTATGCTGTTCATTAGAGAGCCAGGTCTTTGCTTTTTGAAATCTCCTAAAATTATTCATGTACTTATTTTAACTCAGCTATAAAATTAGTGTTAGACTGTCAGGATATTTGTTTACAGTTAAGATTACTATATAACAGATGTAGAATTTAATGCCAGTTCTAGGCCTTGTTTTTTGTTGTTTTCCATCTGTGAAATTAACAAATTGGACTAGTGATCGCAAGTATCTCTTTGAATTTAAGGTTCTGTAATACTCTGTTTTAGGACTACTTTTCATTATTATTGCATTTTTAAAATTTCTTGTTTCCTTTCCTTTCACACTTATCATTATTAACAAAGCTTGCTATATCCACTAGCTATAGTCTTAGAGAAAGTTCTTATAAGAATGTTCAATACCAGTAGAAGTTTTTGCTGCTTCATTTGTGGTTGTTTAGGGTGAGATGAGAAACTGCATGCTATGTCTGTCTTTTTTTTTTCCTTTTTGTCTTTTTTCGTGTCCGGCAATGGATCGCAACCCTCAGTGTCGCGCCCGTACCGGACCGGGACCGGCAACGGGGTCGCAACCCTCGATGTTGCGCCCGCACCTCGCTCAGCCAGTGAGCGGCTGGTCTGTATGTGGGATCCGAACCCTCGGCGGGAGCGCCACCATGCTCCCAAGCGGTGCACTGTAGCAGTGCGCCACCGGGCTGGCCCCTGTGTCTGTCTTTTCGAGTGACTTTCTAGTCTGTTTTCTTCATATGTAGTTTGTATCTAATATTTATATTTTACAATAGTGTCTAGACCCCAAGGGCTTCTTATATGTTTTCAAGGACTTCATCTCTGCATTTAGTTAATTTTACTCTAAGCAATGGTGACTGTACTTTCTTATAAAGTAGTGTTAATTCTTTTAAAACTTCATTTTTATCTCTTTTCCTGTCCTTCTGATTTTGCGTGATTTGGCTATCTGTACAGAATTTTAGCTTGATTGCACATACAGTAGGAAAATAAGTTGTAAGGGACTTTTATATATGTATACAGGTATTAAATTTCCTGAACTGTAGAGCCCCACTAAACAAACAAAGCTGTTCTTTGGATGATAGGGAAATGGAAATTTTAGAGAAAATAAAAATTAGAGTTTGAAAAAAAATGTTCTCCATAGGTAGTTACTTAAGAACATCAAGCTACAATATGGGGCTTAGAGTGTCTATAAAAATACCTTATCTGGTCTAAAAGTGAATAATTTACTCAGACAAATAATTATTAATTAAATTTGATTTTGTATGTTTAGAAGTTTAGTTACAAACAAAACAAAACCAAAAACCCCCAATTTTAAGGAATCTATTACATTTTAGGTATTTTTTGCAAGTTTTATAAAGCAAGCAAACCATGAGAATAGGAGAAATCATCAATTTTTCAGGAAAACAAAGGAAGTTACTGTATTCTGGACCTGGTACCTTCCATGGTGTCAAGCACATACAGGAAGGACTCATTTAAAAAACTTTTTTTTAAAATTGTGGTAAAATATACATAACATAAAATTTGTCATTTTGACTGTTTTTAAGTGTATAGTTCAGTGACATTAAATACATTCACATTGTCATATAAATAAGGAAGGACTCATTTTAAGAAAGGGAAGTGAAGGATCTTATTTCCCAAACAAAGCCAAGTTAATTGAATACAACTTTTATTGCTGGAATTTTTTTCTAATAAAATTCTTATTTCTTGAACTATCATCAGAAATTTCTGTTTTTCTTTTTGTCATCCTTAAGGATTTCTGAAAATTGAAGGCTTGCTTAGATGTAGACTGAATTCTCTACTATTTCATGTGTTAGTTAATTTCTTAATTTGATGTGAGTGAGCATCTATTTCATAAGCTGTAGAAAACGAGAATACCAGGTATGTGAGAAATAATAAGAACCTTAGACTAGGTCTAAGATAAAGATCTTGCCATTATGTTACAAAAGGATAAGTTTGGCAGCAATCTTTTTTTTTTTTTTGTCCTTCTTGAGACCGACTGCACCGTGCTCGAGCACTGTGAGCGCACCGGTCATCCCTATATAGGATCCGAACCCGTGGCGGGAGCGCTGCTGCGCTCCCAGCGCCGCACTCTCCTGAGTGCGCCACGGGCGTGGCCCGGCAGCAATCATTTCTAAAGGTAATGTGTCCACATCTAAAAGATATGGTTTCGGGCCGGCCTGGTGGCGCACTGGAGAGTGCTCCGCTTGGGAGTGTGGCGGCGCTCCCGCCGAGGGTTCGGATCCCATGTGGAGACCGGTTCCCGCTCACTGGCTGAGCGCGGTGCGGGCGCAACACGGAGGGTTCCGATCCTGTTGCCGGTCCCCAGTACAGGCGCGACACCGAGGGTTGCGATCCCATTACCGGTCAGTAAAAAAGACAAAAAGGAATAAAAAAATAAAAAATAAAAATAAAAGGTATGGTTTCAATATCAATTTTAAGTATATTACTTACATTACTTTTTTGTTACATCTCTTCTTTTTCTTATTTTTTTTCTTTGTGTCACTTAAGATCACAGTGCAGAAGCCAGATTTATTCATTCACTAATTCATTTATTTGACAAGAAGCTTATAGTTCTTACTATGTACTAGGTACTGTTCTAAGTGCTTTATAATCTTTATTCACATAATTCTCACAACAGCCCAGTGAGGTAAGTGGTAGTATTACCCCCAGCTTATAGAAGAAGAAACTGAAGAAACAAGGAGATTCAATAACTTGCCTACGGTCACATAGCTAGTAAGTAGTAAAATTGGGATTCAAACTCAGGTAGTGTGGCTGTAGAGGCTGTGTGCTAACCATTATATTTGCTGCCTCCCCAGGACCTTTCTTCCTGTCAACTCAAACTGTTTTAATTCTGCTCCTATGAATGGATTATCTTGATCTCTACAGAAGCAAAGAGACAATACTTCCAGCATTCGTTCCATTTATAGCCCTGTGAAAAACAGATGATAGGAGGACTGGAACCTGTCTTCCAGCCTCCAGAAAAGTCAGTTAAAGGAAGCCCATAAGTTTAAAGAAGGCATCACATCCCCCTTTTTCTTCTCATAATAGCAGTGCTGTCTGGAGATGAGTTATACACCATGTTCATGTATTTAAATTTAAATTGTGTTGCTTCTGTGAATATCATGAATACCTTCACACCCAATTCTTCTAATTCCCTAAGTTTTAGAAATCCCTTTGGGGGAATAAAGGGCTTGTAAGCACTAGAAAAACCCATTGTCTGTGTTTTTTTTATTGCTTTGCAACTAAAAACAAGGTAGGAAAAAGGTCCTTAAAGAAAAAGATTTTAAAAAGATAGCAAACTTTTTATTCCTCTGTCCATTATAATTTTAGGATTACATTCCCAATATTATCAGTAATTCATTAAAATACACCATTTTGTATAATCGTACTATGTGGCAAAAGAATCTGAAGCAGAGGACCTCATTTAATGCTATTTATCCAGTGTGTGCTTGGGTAATGCTGATAGAGTTACCAAAGAGATTCTGGCAGTAGTTAATCTCTTCCTTTTCCTTGGGTTCCTTTTGTTTAAAAGGCAAATGCTGGTATTTGGAGGTTTGACAGGGGATCATTCATTGCAGTTCTGATGAGCTGCTCTAGAGTTGAACAAAGACACAAAACTGAGTGGCTGAAAGCATGTTTAAAGCCTTGTTCCGGGCTCTCAAATGCAGCTTTTTAAAACAGAATTTGATGTCTTTTTTCTTGTGAACAGATTGAAGACCAAATTTCCATATACCAGTCACTGCACAAATCCAGGCTATTTGTTAAGTCCAGTCACAGTGCAAAGAAACATATGTGGAGAAAATGCTAGTGTGAAGGTCTCCATTGAAATTGAAGGATTTCAACTACCAGTTACTTTTACATGTGATGGTAGGTTTGTAGTTCTCTAAGCATTTTGTTTTGCTCTCTTAGGGGGAAATATTTAAAACATCACTATTATCATTCTTTTAATAAACGAACTTTGTTGTCATTACGTGTCCTTTTAAAAAAAATGGCATTTATATGGATAATTTTATGATTAGGACTAATGGGAAAACAGATTACCTTTATAACTTTTTAACCTTTATATTCCTCTGAAAAATGCTGAATAGGGGCCGGCCCGGTGGCGCACTGCTACAGTGTGCCTGAGGGTTGCGATCCGTTGCCGGTCACGAAAAAAAAAAAAAAGACAAAAAGGAAAAAAAAAATGCTGAATAACTTTTGTTAATCAGTGGCTCTTAGCCAAGGCCTAAAAGCATTAGATAGTAATGCTAATTATAGTTTAATTCTTTATTTTTATTTTCATTTTCATTCTATGGCAAGAAGAATGCTTGTTTATGAAGAGCTGTCAGTAAAATTGAAATTCCAGATGTTTTGCTAAGTTCCTCTAAGGAGAAGATAATTCTCCTTTGGTTTTATTGATCGACTGATTGATTGATTGGCAGCTGGCTGGTATGGGGGTCTAAACCCTTGACTTTAGTGTTACCAACACTAGGCTCTAACCAACTGAACTAACTGGCCAGCCCCTCCTTTGATTTTAATTCTCTCTTCCAAACTTGGTGTGGGTATTCTTTTGAAAGATGTAAGTCTGTAGGAAATTTCTGTTTGGTTTTTTTTTTTTTTTCTTTTTTGTGACTGGCCACACCACGCTCAGCCAGTGAGCGCACTGGCCATGCCTATATAGGATCCGAACCCACGGCGGGAGTGCCGCTGCGCACCCAAGTGCTGCACTCTCCCGAGTGCACCATGGAGCCGGCCCCTGTTTTGGTTTTTAAAACTACTTTTATTTTCTTTCAGAGTTTATTGCATTTTATAATGTATATTATTTTAATGGGATTTTAACAGTGGAATAAGATCCTATATTTCTACAGTACTTTGGCCTAAGAATTATGCTGTTTTTTTCTTTAATGGTTTTGACTAGGAATACATCCTATATTTAGATACTTTCTTTCTAGCTTTGCACTTTTGAAGGTCCTTTGAAAAAATATGAATCTAAAACAGGAAAATGTTAGCCAATTGTAACATTCACTCTTATAGTTTCTAAAGGAAAAGTTAGTCTTTTAAAACATACCTTGCATTTTGTCTTGGGGAATTATTTAAATCTAAGTATGCAATAAGAATTAATACTCAGGGCCAGCCCGGTGGCGCACTGGAGAGTGCGCCGCTTGGGAGCCCGGCGGTGCTCCCGTCGAGGGTTCGGATCCCATGTGGAGACCGGTTTCCGCTCACTGGCTGAGCGCGGTGCGGGGGCAACACCGAGGGTTGCGATCCCGTTACCGGTCAGTGAAAAAGACAAAAAGGAAAAAAAAAAAAAGAATTAATACTCAAATTCAAAATAAAAAGGTCAGTAGGCACTTTGATTGAAATAAGCATGAGTATGCAAATGCTTTAATATGTACTATATCAAATTTCAACTTACTACATCAAAATCTGACTAATCTCAAAGAACTGTTTCAAATGTCAATTGTTTGATTATTCATAAATGTGCATGTTTATAATATATGTCTCTATTAGGAAATGTAACCATATTATGGTAGAAGTGGTTTGCATATTCAAATTATAAAATGTTACCATACATTTGACTCTTCAGAAATGTCGCTATTATGTTAGAGATTATTACATTAGATGGAGGTCTTTTCTGTTAAACAATTAATTTTCATGAAGTTTAAATGTAATCACTGTTTTTTGTTAACTGAACATAGGAGCTTCAAGTATAGAAATAGGTTACTTTAAAAGCTTTAGTTTTTAATGCATTGTAATCTTAGGATCTGGCTCTTGCTAAGAATAATAATTGAACAATATTGGCTACCTGCTATATTTTTATTCTTCATTGGAAAATTTACCAGGCATATGTCAAAACTTTAAATTGGTGGGTTTTTTTCCTTATAATTTGTTTTAAATCATTGTTTGCTGGCTACTGCTAAATGTCATCCTGTTTGGAGATGTCGTTAATAGGGATGTGGCTTTCTTTAAGCTTAGACCTGCACTGTCCTACATACTAGCCACTAGCCACGTATGGCAATTGAACACTTGAAATTTGGCTAATCCGGATTGAGTCATGCTATAAATCCAAAATACACACTGGATAGTGAAGCCTTCATTTGAAAAAAAGAATGTAAAATATCTCATTAATTTAAAAATATCAATTATATATTGAAATGATATTTGGGATATATTAGGTTAAAATGTATTAAAATTAGTTTTACCTCTTTCCTATCACTTTTTTCAACGTGGCTACTAGAAAATTTTGTATTGTAAATGTGGCCTACATTTATTTGTGACTTACATTTTACTTCTCTTGTATAGTGCTATATTAGATTATAAGTAACACAGTCTTGAAATAAGCATATACTTAGAGGTAAATGAGCAAAATGAAAATGATGACTAACTCTTTTATAGTGAGTTCTACTGTTGAAATCATTATAATGCAAGCCCTTTGCTGGGTACATGATGACTTGAATCAAGTAGATGTTGGCAGCTATGTTCTGAAAGTTTGTGGTCAAGAGGAAGTGCTGCAAAAGTAAGTTTATTCATTTAACTACTGAGCAACATCTTTGGAAATTTCATTTTAATGGCTTAAATTAGAAAGTTTTCAAGTTAAATATGTAATCCAAAAATACTTTCGGTTGTATTGAGTTGATTCATTAGATCAATGCTATGTCTGAGATGTCGTGTCTAAGACAGTGGTGGGATTTCAGAGATAAGATAAGGTATTCTCCTAAGAAACCAATAGTCTTATATGGGAAGAAATTGTAGGTAATTGGTTAATAAGTGAATGTAATAGTTTTTTTCTTTCCGTAAAGAGTCAATAGTTACGTCATTATAAACTCCAGTCTCCTTTTGTAGTATGCACTGTTATTTTAAGCATAGTAGTCAGCTGTGATTTCCTCTTAGTTGCCTGAAGAAATCATTATATGAATCTTTTTCTTACCCAGATCATTTATTATATCTAGCTTTTAGTCTAGATTTCATTCTCCTAGGCTACTGGAAATTCCCTGTCCCTATTTTTTTCTTATTTTCTTCTTCATCTTTTTTCTTCTTCACTTTGATTCTTCTCATATAGAATAATTCCTCTGTCCAAAATGCTTACACTTGGTTAGAGAACTAACTCTGTATTTTATCATTCTCTTCAATTTATGATGCAGATGCAATTTCTATTTTACCCTCACTTCTGTAATTTATAATATGAGTAGAATAATAATAAAGAATAATTAATATATTTTTACAGTAATCATTGCCTTGGAAGTCATGAACATATTCAGAACTGTCGAAAATGGGACACAGAGATTAAACTGCAACTCTTAACCCTCAGTGCAATGTGCCAAAATTTGGCCCGAACAGTAAGTGTGTACCTTATAATGCAGTTGCATTTGGTTGAGTCTGAATAATTCTGCTAACTAGATAATTTTTAGTTTGTACATTTTCCAAGATTTCTGAGTTGGACTAGGGTGATGAACTCGTTATCCTCAACAGGAATCTTTTCAGTAGATGGGGGGAGAGGCATGTGCCTCAGAGCTAGAGGCATAGTTGAATATCAGAGTGGAGGAATTAAAAGTTTGATTTGTAATAGTTTTAAGCAAGAGTGAAAACATCAGGGTCAGTCAAGGAGAAATGAGGAAGAAGGAAATAATTTGAATGCTAACTATGGGATGGGAAAAATAAAAGATCTTTATCGACCTTTGTATCAAAGTGAGAAAAATAAATTATTTCTCAAAAAATGAAAATTAAGGGCCGAGCCCATGGCGCACTCGGGAGAGTGTGGCGCTGGGAGCGCAGTAGCGCTCCCGCCGCGGGTTCGGATCCTATATAGGGATGACCGGTGCGCTGACAGCGCTCACTGGCTGAGCGCGGTGCGGCCGGTCTCAAAAAGGACAAAAACAAACAAACAAAAAAACTAATTTTCTGTTTTAAAAGTTCATTACTTTCTTTTTAGGTTAAAGAAAAATAGAAGGTAGGACATTTAGTCATTGCATTACTGTATAAACCTTGATAAATTTATAAGTGAATTTTTAACCTCTAAAGAGAATTATTCTTCATCTGGTAGAATTTTGGATAGAAAAATAGTCCTTTCTACATTTTTTCCTTGGATTTTGCTCCTGTGTTAGGTAGAGTGGAAACTATTTGACAAAATTCAATACATTTTGGAAATCATTGGTAACTTCTTCATTCAGTTTTTTAAGGAATAATATTCTTGAGTATATTTGCATAATGTGGATTTATGGTAGAAGAGACCAGTATCTTGTTTATTAGGGCTCAGTGAGGAATGGGAGAAAACTTGATTATCGTTAGAAATAATAATGCAGAAATTCATATGATCACATCCCCATCTGGTCCTCACCTCACCTTCATTTGACTGTCTTTAAATCTCTCTCTCTCTCTCTCTCTCTCTCTCTCTCTCTCTCTCTCTCTCTCTCTCTCTCTCCCTCTCTCTCTTCTCT